TGGTTCTGACTGTTACTGAAGCAGTGATTCCATGGGGATGAAGGAAAAAGGGGCAATGTCTTTTTATGCCTTGTTCTCGGACAATAAGGATTAAAGTCGAGATCAGAAAAGGTGAGATGAGATGTTATCATGGCAATGCGTTTTCCTCACCCCTCCTAATCTCTATTGAGATTAGTTGTCACCCCCTAGTCTGTATTGAGAAGGTAAAGATTTTTAAATCTGATAGAAAGGAAATCAGCTCTGCTTGGCCTTGGCGTTTTAAAATAGGTAGCGACCCTGGGCATAGGGGGGGCGGTCGCCCCCCCCCGCCCCCCCCCCTGTATCCGCCACTGGAGAGCAATATGTTATGATCGGTGATGTTTTGGAGTGCATCTGGGTCTGTTTGCAGGGAATAGAAACGATTTTTACTATAAAGGATTGGGAGACTGAACGGAGAGGAACCAAAATGGCGCCCAGCGCGAGGGTTGGCCAGGCCCAGTCTCTCTAGGGGCTCTACTCTTACCTTCGCCCAACTCGCGAAGTCTAGAAGACCATGGGCTGGAAGAAAATCAGAAGTTCATGCAATTCTGGGACTTCCTTTACATGGCTAAACCATCTAGCAGGTGAAAAGGGTCGTCCTCGACTCACATGGAAAATATTTGGGATCATCGATATTTCCTAATATTTTACCTCCAATTAATTTAGCTTGAAAATTATACAAGCGACGCGAGCTGCCCTCCATTCGAAGTCAAGGTCAACCATGTCCCAGAGCCCGAGATTGCCGACATTTCAGTTTCCTGGTTGACGGTCGAGCGCCATGAACGCGCTCTGGCGTCACGTGGAGAAATGAGTGCCGAGTGGGCCAATTGAGATCCAGTCTGATCACATTGCAAATAAGACGCTTATTTCCGCTTCACGTGCTTCTTTGACCGGTGAAAGGTCTGGAGCGGCATGGCTTCGGCATGGTAGCATAATAATTCGTGCAAGGCGGCGGTAATGATCATCTATTCTTTATTTGATGTCACGGGTATGTTACAGGGATGCAGTCAGGGACAGGATAGCATGGTGCCATGACGCAATCCACTTCCTGCATGATGCACGTGTAGCCCGGCTGGCAGTCCACGTTGGCGCACGTAATGGCATCTGCGGGAGGAATCAAGAAATCAGGAATTCAGAAATGGCAGGAATTGCGAACGGCGTTGATCATGCAGCCTGTACAAGAAATCGATCGATCCGAGACGATATAGTCCTGTAGGAAATATAAAAGGTCGTAAATCAGTCGTCAGCAACACCCTGGGACGGAAATCGTCAAATTTGCAAGCTCACTCATGGTGAGAAGAACGTGAGAAACGAGAGCGTGCGGGACACTCTCAGGTTCCTTACTATGCTTCAAGCCACGCCTCAAGGCACTTCATCTAAGTTCGGAAAGAGAAAGTGCGATATTACCGTCAGGAACGCAGAAGGGCATTTCCGGACATTGACCAGGCAGCAGGCCGCAATCCACATGAGCCAGGATGCACTGCTCCCCCTCGGCACACTTCTCATCGTCACAGCACGGCTCTAAACCAATCGTGAAATTCAACCTTGACTCCCAATTAACTCCTACAATTGAATCCCCACTTCAAGATAACTCCTACAATTGAATCTCCACTTCAAGATAACTCCTACAATTGAATCTCCACTTCAAGATAACTCCTACAATTGAATCCCCACTTCAAGATAACTCCTACAATTGAATCCCCACTTCAAGAGAACTCCTACAATTGAATCCCCACTTCAAGATAACTCCTACAATTGAATCTCCACTTCAAGATAACTCCTACAATTGAATCTCCACTTCAAGATAACTCCTACAATTGAATCTCCACTTCAAGATAACTCCTACAATTGAATCTCCACTTCAAGATAACTCCTACAATTGAATCTCCACTTCAAGATAACTCCTACAATTGAATCTCCACTTCAAGATAACTCCTACAATTGAATCTCCACTTCAAGATAACTCCTACAATTGAATCCCCACTCTAATTTAACTCGATAGATTCGAAAGTCTTTCTCACCTGGCTGCATGCACTGATACCCGCACCCGTTGAAGCAGCAGAGGAGACCCTCCGGACAGTCTCCGTCGGTGGAACAGCCGTGGATGCAGATGCCGACTTCGGGCGGAGGACATCTCCCCACTGCCCAATAATATGTATATATTTTTTCAAATTCGTTAATATATAATTTAAATTTGATAATATATTTTTTTATTAATATAATTTCTTGTTATTCTCAATATTCACGTATTTACAATATGCGCATGATGATGTAATGACAATAATGCTCTGTATCCCCTTCGTTGGCTTCGGGATGAAGCGGCCCCGTCTGCACGAACTGCCTTACGCGTCGGTACCTTTGCGTTTGAGTCGCTCTGGACTGCAACAAATTCTGCGAAGGACTTGAAAAGTTGCCATTTATGTACACTTTGCTTTATGAAAGCAGGAATCTCATTGGTGCGAATTGTTTACCGGGGAAATTCCGAAAATTCACATTTTCAGCGGTATCAGTTTTCGAAACCGAAAGAAAAGTTGCTAAAAGTTCGCTTGCACGCTGCAACTTCATATTAGGGATGCTCCCTTCTCAGTCAGTGCAAGGAATTAAAAATCGATGGGGAATTGAAATCCCTGAACCATTTTACGATTTTGCTATTTTAGGTAAAATATAGGACATGAGATGTTGCAACTTACGGGAGAAATAAAGGTCTATTAAGTAATTAAAAAAATTACAGCCTCGCTCTGAATTTACATCCTGGAACTGTCGAGACAGCAAATGGCGCACCTCCCCACGCGTCACTCCCTTTAACACTTCAGGGACTCACGCGAGGAAGCCCGAGATGCGAGGAGGGAGAAGGCGAGGAGGAATCCGAGAAATCGCTTCATCGTCCTTCCGCGTCCGCTTTAGGCGAGGAGAGAAAAAATAACGTCGGGGATGCGGAAAGGTCTTGTTTACGGATGTCGTCTGATGCGCACCTGATGCCATTCTCACGCTTTCTCTTCTCTATCTCGGCCCATCCCCATATTTTCCTTAAATGATCGATTCTCAAACACCAGAGGCTCTCGGCCCGCAATGTTTAATCGTGGCAAGAAATTCCATCAGAGAGCACGCTGATCCGAAGGTCCTGCTCAAGGTCTTTTTATCTTGCGGGAACGACCGACTTAAATGTGAGGACTGGCACCACGTATGACTGACGTGAATCCTTATAATATCCGCCTTGATATGAATATGGTACACAAATCGTGTAAAGAAGAAGCTGATCGCTGTGCTCCTCGTCTTCGTCAACGCCTTCACTTCCAACGCCCCGAACGAATCATCAGAGGCTTCGCAGCCGGATTCCGCCGGGACTGCCCTTAATCCCAGCACTGTGGGTCTTTTTTGCTCCTAAATGCCAGTATTGTGGGTCTTTTGCGCCCCTAAATTCCAGTATTGTGTGTCTTTTGCGCCCCTAAATTCCAGTATTGTGGGTCTTTTGCGCCCCTAAATGCCAGTATTGTGGGTCCATTGTGCCCCTAAATGCCTGTATTGTGGGTCTATTGCCAGCCAGTCCGAATGATAGTGAAACAGGTGGGCAACGGTTTCACGCCGTGAAGCCGACGCACATCGTCGAGCTTGGCCATCAGTTATCATCGCAGCGTAGCAATCATATAAGGCGAATCGTGAGGAATTATTCATCCCAGCTACGGATGGTAATGCGAAAAAAATTATAAGCAAAATCGCGATGCTTCCGTGAATAAAGCGTCTGAGATTATGCAAAATAAGAGTAATCCTTAACAGAGACGTGAGAATCCTTCCAAGCTTAAGCTGATCGCGAAGAAAATGAGAATGGAAAGTCAAGTTTCAGGCGATAACTGTTTCAGCAAAAACAAGGAGCCAAAAAGCAATTATTTCCGGAAGGAATTATTTCCGGCAATTATTTCTGCAAAAACTTTTGTCCACTGCCGGATATTCAGACTCGGCGTGCATGTGCCAAGCGAAACCTTTAAATACATTGCTTTTCGCGGATTCCGTGACTTTTCTTCGCTGGATCGGCAGATCTAGGTGGAAACCGTGTAAATTATTAGCGTAAATTATTTGCTAATAATTTATTATATAAATTATTGGCAAATATTGCAAAATCAGGGGCCCAACCGATTGCATCGTTCTGCACCATAATGCGATAAGTTTTGCCTGACTTCAGGTTACAGTTTTCTTTGTTCGATCTCATATAACCGAGTGATCCACATCCACAAATTCAATTCAATTCAATTCAATTCATCCAACGATTCGATGGCAATTCCTTGGGGCCTTCCCCTTTCAACGAATCCTATAAATTAAATAATATAAATAAAATATAAAATTGTCCGCTTTTCTGCTTCGATGTTTCTGCTCCTGTTTATTTTGCCTGGATGCAAAAATATTCGATCTGGTTTGTAACTCAGTTTCTTACCGGAAAAACTGCAGAATCGTAAAAAAAAAGCCTCATTTAACGGACTACGTGTATAAGAAGAGGCTAGGGGCCATGAGCAATTTCGGAATCCGTGAGCAGAATTTTAAGTTTTTATTTTATTAAATGGCCGCCAATGCTTTTAGCATCTTACTTGAGGCAACTTGACCAGAGCGGCAGTAAAAAGATGATAAAAATTTCCCAAATACACTGCAGACACTTCCGAGCATCGTGTAAAATACAGCCAGACTCTTTATGGTCGAAATGTTAATAATCAACTCATCCCCTACACAACCTATGCTCGTGAAACGTGCATAAACCTGGGATTGCAGGCCAGCTCTATGAGAAACGTGGCATCCACGAACCAAGGACGAAGCGCGTCTGTTTTAGAGACCGGCGCGAGTGAATCCAGGCGATGCCGGCAGCCCCGATGGGATTCCGCGTTTCTGGGTCGGTAGATTCGCGGGTTGCAAGGGCTCGGCAAGTACCTGAAAGTACGTGTATTTGCCTCGACATTCGCCGAGTACTGGCTGTAACGAAAGGCTATGCACACGGCAAATGAACCAACTTCGACGCTTGAGGTGCGAGCGACCGTGTCGTCGAGTACTAAATCACGTGGTTAGTAGGCTCAAAATGTTTCCAAGAAGAGTAAAACTCGAGTAAGTACTGGCAAGTACGAGAGCAAGCACTGGTGCAACGAATGGGCCAGCAGAAACGGAAGCATGCAAACACATTTTTCGCGACTTTGAAACGGAAGTTCATCTCTAAGGCTGATTCAAATTGCTGATGCATGAAAAACAGACAATTCCGAGCGAACCGATTTTTTTTTTTCGGCGCATTTACTCCAAAACATCCCGCCAGGTCGAGGAGCTTGCCTCCCTCGGAGGACTTCCCTGTCAAGGTCGGGCCCTGCGTCGTGCAAGGCCAGCCGGCTGGGTTCGTTTCCCATCTGCGGGAAGGAGTCATCCCGTTGCGCAGGTTTCGCCCGTATGGAATCGGGGAAAAAATAGCCTAACATGTTCGGGCGACTCGGAGGATTAGCGTTAATCCTGACACCGAAATCGCACGTGCGGCGAACGGTTCAGTAGAGACGAAACCGTGCAACATATTCACATTGACATAAGTATAAAACGTATATTCAATATTTGCGTCGTAATTCGAGAATCGCATCCAAGATAATTATCTCAAGATAATTATCTCTAAGAGTACTGAGTTGCTGAAAACCTGGCTCATGAAAATTGCAGATGTATGCATGAAAAACTGAGACGATCACAACCTAATAGCGAATACTGTCAACCTGCATGTATTTTCAGCACCCCTCCTCCTCCTTCCCCCCCCTCCTTCCCCCCTCCTTCCCCCCCCCCGCCCTTACCCCCTCCCCTCCCACCCACGGAGCCACTTCTTTGAATTTATCCCAGTCCCTCCAGCTCCAAAAGATTCCGTTCCCCGGGGAGAAGTTTCCTCAGAGCAATGGAAAAATGTGATCGCTGAACGGTCGGACCTTGCATGATGCGAGGCGCGTTCAAGGCCAGCCACCCCTGCAACCGCCTGGCTGAGAGGATTTAGCTCTATCATCATTATTATATTACGTTTATTATTTATCATCGTTACTTATTTAATAACGAAATCGATCACTTTCCAAGCTAAAAATGGAAGAAGCGTTCAAAACCGGAACATTTTTCGACCACGTGCAAGTACCGAATTAGAGCGCTTCGGCTTCATCAGGGCAGACACTCGGAAATTTCCTCAGGTTTGACATGAGGGAAGAAATGCAAAAAAATTGGCAATATGCCAAAAATGGCAATATGCCAAAAAAAAATAAATTAGTTTTTCGTTCCGAAAATTCATTTGTCGGGCATCGCCTAATTCGTTTTGGTGGTTTTTCATGAAAATTGTTTAAAGATATTGATGAACATTAGCCAGCGCGATCGAGCTCACAGAGGCTTGCGAAAATGCCAGGAGTCATTATTTATCATAAGTTATTGAGATAATTATTCATTATCATTTTTTCTTATATTTTTTCCCCAAGAAAAAATTTTTGGAGGGTGAGGGGGGGCAGTGGCCTACGGCGCCATCATGCAACAGAGAGTTCGCGATGTTCGCGACGCTCGCGACGTTCGCGACGTTCGCGATGCCAATGTACGTGGATGTGCCTGCGACTCATCAGAGTACTGCGCCCTTGAAATGTGGAAGCCCGCACCTGCTTGCCTCCCGTCATGTGAGCCATGTGAGCCATGTGAGCCATGTGAGCCATGTGAGTCATGACGATCTCACGCCTGCTGGCGGCTGGCACGAGATCGCTGGGAAATGTATCGAGTGGATTCACGGGCGCCTGCGGTTCAACGAGTACCTAAAAGTACTTCCAAAGTACTTCCGAATTAAATATCCATCGGCTGCTCCGTAGTGAGATTGATGTTAATTTTGTTGTTAATTAACTAATTTGAAAACAATGAAAAGGAGGAGAAATGCTTGAATACTAAATAAGAAGCTTTGGGTGCATCTGCGTGCACCTTCGGTGCATGGGGTGCACCTCTCGAGGTCGCGCAGGTTGAGATGCGGTCTTTGGCGAGGCCTTTGCCTGATGTTAAGTCTTTGCTTTAAGCAGCTTAATCAAGTTAAGCTGCTTAAAGCGCGGTCTGAAATCGGCTGATGAGCCTATAGGAATCCCATGAGATTTTTCGATCTTAAAAATCTGATGGGATTCTTGCTGGAGTTTCCACTCGCGTCCGAGGATGAGGAGGGGCATCTTCGATTGATTGATTGGTCTTCGATTGATTGATTGAGGTTCGATTGATTGATTGAGGCTCGATTGATTGATTGAGGCTCGATTGATTGATTGAGGTTCGATTGATTGATTGAGATTCGAATTGCTGGAAGGTGCGTGGGGAATTCGGATCTGCTTTTGCGATTTTGAGCAAATAAAAATGCGAATGGTACGAAACCCCAGAGTTAACTTATTGAAATTCCATCATTTCTTGGAAATTAAAATTGTAAATTAATAAGTATTTGATAATTATTGCGATCCTTCAGGAATCGGAAATTCGGAAAAAAAAAATTTTAAATAGAAACTTAGGACTTCCTGGAAGTCCCGAAGCGAATTCAGAAAGGGGAAACTCTCCAGGAAGCACTCTGAATCGCGCCACATGTGCATGCATCAAAAATTCCAGATGGCCACGCAGCAATTACCGCAATGTGGAAATGCCTCCATGGACTCGATATCTGGTGCGACGGAACCAGGAAAACGCCGGGCGTCAAGGCCTCGCGAGCGGGTGGGGGGGGAGGGGGGGGAAGGGTGGGGGGGGTTTCCCCGGGTATAAAAGGAGGTGGAGGGCCGAGGGGTTCCCACAGTCGAACGGGAGGATCGCAGCGAGGAGTTCTCAACGATGGCCATGGCAGTGACGGCGTTCGCTCTCTTCATTTCGCTGCTGGTCTTCTGCGGCGTCCAGGTTGGCGGGACTTTGGGGTGGGTCGGAGCTGCTTCCAGGATTTTGCATGGTCGCGTCTTTTTTTCAGGTGGAAGGTGGGATTTCTAACGGTTGCCTGCAGTGCATTCGCCAGATAGAAGGGGGAACTGTCGGGGTTTGTCGATGGGACGTTAATTCCGATAGTTGTGGGCCGTTTCAGATCAAACTCAACTACTGGAAGGACTGCAGAGCAGGTAGGCTTTCGTGTAATCGCCGAGACGTGGCGACGTGGGTGCCGTGCACGCGACGATGACGAGTCTCCGCGTCCCCACAGGATCGTCGTGGCAGACCTGCGCCAAGCAGCTGGCCTGTTCGGAGACGTGCGTGAGGAATTACATGAATCGCTACGGGCCCGTGTGCGTGAAGGGACGGACCCCGACCTGCGAGGACTACGCCCGCATCCACAACGGGGGACCCGGCGGGTGCAAGTCCGCGAGCACCGTCGGCTACTGGGCGAAGGTGAAGAAGTGCTGCGATCGCGCTGGGAACTGCTGAGACCTGACCCTTCTCCTGGCTTCAGGACAATAAAGGAAATTTTCAGCCCCAATCGGGATTCCCATTGCCTTAACACGTCTCACAGGCGTCGACGAATTCGCCGGACCGACCTTTTCCCGTGACCGACTCCCATCGCGTTTCCTCGCGTTTGCGGTCCACAGTCCGCTTTCGCAAATTCGGAATTTGCGTCCCCGAACAATTCGCAGCCGTCGCCTATTGAAGCTTCCAATTTCCTGTCAGTCGTATTAGCATTGGCACTATTAAGAGAACTTTTTACAATTTGCACTATTTTGCATCAGAGCGCTCAGTCGGAAAATATCTGATGATACGAGTTCTCGTTAGATCTCACGACCTTCTCATGAGGATTGTGTGGTTACTCATGAGGTCCCATGAGATCTCATAACTTTCTCACGAGGACTATTAGGTCCCTTATGACGACTTTCACCTGTTGGGCTTTCGGAAACCCTCAGGGACCCAGAGATCATGGACCGAGAACTATTGGGTGAAGACCTCATAAAGCCTCGTTTGGGATACACGTGTGGCACGTGTGGCTGTGTGTGGCACGTGTGGCGGTGTGTGGCACGTGTGGCGGTGTGTGGCGGGTGTGTGGCACGTGTGGCGGTGTGTGGCGGTGTGTGGCACGTGTGGCCGACCGTATCAAACAAAAATTTTACTGGGTACCGGCATAAAAGAAACGCGCCGGGATTCTCGCGTTCATTTCTCAGCTTCCAGATCAACCAATCAATCAATCGATTGACGAAGCAATCGATCGATTGATGAGGCAAGGATCACTCCACTGCACAGTTTGCATGCACAGTTTCTCTCGGCCCCACGAAAGCTTAAGGTAACGGTGCTTCCCGAGTAGACCAGCGGGGGCTGCTGGAACACCTCGACAACGAAAAAGAAACGGATTCACCGCTAGGTTTTACTCGCATTCATAAAAAAAAGCTGACTAAAAACGGAGACGACGCTTTTAGGCGTTAAATGAATTTCAGCATGTTTGTGCTACTTGATCGGAACGACAGGCCTGCCCTCTGACACTGTTCTCGGAAAGATGAGGTTCGCACGACCGAAGCGAGGTGACGCGCAAGTCGCCGCTCCAGCGAGTTAATTCCTGCCGATGCAGGAATCAGTCCGGAAATTCATTTCACGCGGTGCTCGATCCCTTCCCCACGCACACTTTCGAGGGAGACATTGAAATTCCCCAACTGAGGTCCCCGCTTTCAATCTGACCCCATGCAGGTTTGCCACCGGAAACGGTTTCCTGGGCCGGTTGGAGTTCGGTCCCGAATGAAGGAGGAAGGACGGTCGGGAACCCACTTCCACTCCATCGTACGTTTGTTACGGGACTTTTCATATAGGCCTTTCATGTACCAATGACAGCTGTTGTTGATTTAAAGGTTGGATGGTTAACACTTTGCGTACCGCTCACGGAGATCTTCATTTTTTGAGCCCTTTCGCGAGTTCTTTTGCCTAGCCTTAGGCCGAAAAAGTCACAGCCTTGTAGGCATTGACCTTCAGGCTAAGGTAACTGGTAAGGTCAAGTAAGGTAAGGTCGTTGGAATGGGAGAGCTGTACCGGGCCTGGTACAGTACTCTAGTATTGCTAAGCGACTGAATCGTAAGTGAAGTTTTTTGAGCTTTGGAACTGCTTGGAACAGTTCAATATTCGTTCCCGAGTGGCGTTCAAGGAGCGAATGGTTAGGGGGGCTCAGAACCCTTTGATTTCGTCTGGCTGGTAAAAAAAAAAAAAAAAAAAAAACAGGAGATTCTTTATTTTCATCAGTGTTTTCATCAATTTATTGGTCTGCTTCCTGTGTTGGTACTTGTGAGTACCGCATCAAGGAACTGAGATGAAGTCCTTGTTGGCTAGTACTTCATCTCGGAATCTCGAAAATCCCCGGATCGATTCACGACTCCCAAGATTAATCCACGAAATTGGTAGCTACTCGTACGGATATGCAACGGAATGTAAAAAAAAAAATTGTCGCGTTTTCACGGTAGGCGGGGCGAAAGTATGCGCCATAGAGGTCCATTATAATGGTTTGGTTGCACTTCCAAAAAACAGATGAGAGACCTTTCCCTAGCACCCGAAAAAAGGGGCAAGGTCAAGCCACGCTCCTCGACCCTATTGGCCGGTTTCCCAGAATTTCATTGACCTAAGGGAACCTGAGACCTTTGAGCCCCCCCTCCTTCGGCCCCCCCCCCCCCTTTCCTTCCCCTACCCCCTTGAAGTAAAAAGGAAGACGTCATGATATATGGACCAACTAGCGCGGAGGTCTTGGAAGCAGATACTCTCACATCCGCAATATATCACTGAGAAGATACCACTTTCTTGTCATTTTTCGGTTATCTTGTCCATTCCATTTTACGGTAGTGAAGTGGAATAGACAAGATAAGAATAGAAAAAATTCGAGCTGTGAAGAAAATGGCTTATTCTGTTCCCTTTCTCGCCGAAGCTCCGAAGTCCTGTTCCAAAACAGGGAAGATTCCAACTTAGATCAGGATCTTCGTAATGGGTTGCAATTGAGATCTTCGTAATGGGTTGCAGTTGAGTTTCTCATCATGAATAATTTTTTTTAGCGGTTGGAGGCGCATCAGGCGACGCACCGTGCTCCTCATGAGGAGCATGCTGGACCCAGTGCTCCTCTGACAGTGCCAGTGGCACGACGGGTCGCCCCTTGGGGTGGACACGGGATGTCCTGCAAATCATTTTTTAAAGTAATTTAGAGATATATGTTTTCATTCAATTGGTACGACTTGAAGGTATAATGTTTTAATAATTAAGAAGATTCTATTTTTATTAATCATGTTTGAATCCAAATGAAAATTTTTCACCAAAGAATAAACAGATTTGGAACAAATTTAATGTTTTCGCCGGATTTGATCGAAAATGGCTATATATTTTGAAGCGAATTTCACTATCTCAATTAATAAAGTAAAATCCAGAAAAGCCCGCAAATTCGCAGATTTGTTCAGAAGACAATTAACCCCAGGACCAGACCAAGACGGCAGTTATTCAAGTACTTGACATCTAAAGTACTTGAAGTTAGGCTTGGACTTAAATGTTAGGACGTCTCAAGTACCTATTTTTATCACAAAAATTATTTGACTTGTACTTGACCAAAAAGTACAATTCCTTTCCGCTGAATTTATTTGAAAATGTGTTTTATTTTTTTACATCGATTAGAAAATCTTCTTTGACGAAACAGCGGGCAACAACGATCGACAGAGAAAATAATGAAACCACTTACTTCCAGCATTTTGTTCAACCTTAAATTTTGGACTGGACGAGAACGTCCTGGCCGCGGAAGTGTCGAAACGAAGGATCCGAGACGAGATCAGACCATCCGTTGTGCAAGCGGTCGCAGGTGAACGCCTGGATCCATCGCCGTCCCCGATCTGATGAGGTGCGTGTCGAAAACACGAATGTCGAAATTCTCCTCGAAATATTGGGAGAGCAAGGGTGGATCCACCGACATTCACCGATACGGCAGATCTCGATCTGCGAAAATGTCGCATACAGACGAGACGCCGCACGAGGGGGCCAGGCACCTGCCATAGAAGGAGCGAGGATGCCGCCGAGTTCCAATCGCGGAGCGGAAGGTTCACAGTGAGGAGTTCCCATCGAGCCGCAGGGAGATCATGACACTCACGACCTTCGCCCTCCTCCTCTCTCTCCTGCTTCTCTGCTCCGTCCAGGTCTGTGTTGAGTGCTCTTCTAATTGATTTCCTATACGATTTCCCGTATAGTAAAAAGAGGGAAACGTTGCATTTCAGGTTCGGGGCGAAAGGCTGTCTGAGAAATGTATGCAATGCATTCGCGAAAAAGAAAACGGAAGAGTCGGAGAGTGCTTCAAGTTCTTAGAGCCCCTGTTGCATCACATCGGCTGCTCTCCGCGGGAGCCGCGCGTATTGTTCAAAGCGTACGAACAGATGTGCAGCAGTTCATGTTATCACATTTTGTCCTGGGCTGGTGTGTAACTTTTTAAATAAAATTCGAAACGCGACGTGAGGGTCACCCTCAAATGCTATCATTCAGATTAATTTTTGCATTCAATCCCTGCAAAAAAAAAAAAATTGGGGAAGACATCGTCGCACGACGAGAGTGCGCACTACCTTCAGAAATCCTTCAGAAATCCTACAGACACCAAGCCAAATCTCACGACGGGCAGATCCCCAGTTAAAGGGCCCAGCCCCCCTCCTACGCGCAGGTCGTCCATTGCCTCCCTGAATCCAGTTCTCAATCCGGTCGGAGGTCAATGGCAAGGCAGGGCCTTCTCCCGAGTCTCTTGTCCCCAGGGCATAGCGGTCGATTCGGGCTATCCCTTTCATCGCCCTCCGCCTCTCCTCACTTCAGCTGAGCTTCCACGCCAGAGGCGATTAGAGAGGGTCTTCTCCCATGATCGCTTTCATGCATGTAATACTCCTCATACCGGGCTCTCATTTATTTTGAGTCGTTTAAGTCTTCCCCTCCCTATGGGGTGGAATTTTCATGAACTTAGCTCTGGAATGCAAGCGTTCCAGTGGGAGGTAATGGTCTAGAGGGGATATGAAATGTTGAATATGGATGATATCCCAGTAAGAATATTTAAATGACTGAGTGTTCACAATGTATAGCAGCAAATATTAAGATTGTTGAAACTCGACAGTGATCTAATTATTTGTTTATCTCTCTCAGTAGTCGTAAATCCTCATCGGCTCGCATTTCAGCGGTCCACTCCGCGGCAGAATGCCTCGCGCCGGTCTGGACCAGGAGTCCTCCGGTGCCGTGACTCCCGGCCCGTTCCGACGTGGCACGAACAGCCGAAATCCGGCGAGCGAAAGAACCCGATCGGCCGCGACGTCACGCGCCCGCCGCCTCTCCAGCCCGGATTCCGCGACTTTCAAGGAAGATATGGTGATGCGAGTACGGACCCTCCAAGGAAGATGCGGACGCATTTTCCAAAAATTAGACAAATCAAAGATCGGCTAGAATGCGACTGCGGACTACCAAGTTCAGCATATCGTACTCGAACGTCCGATTAGATCCGTCGCAGACATTAAAAAGAAAAAAAAAACCTGAACGAAGCTACTCCCGAGGCAGTCGAATGGTTTTATTATTCTTAAATTTGTTGCAGTCCGCCAACGCCTCGCGAAAGAAGTCCAGCGGTTGACATTCCCGGAGTACATCTCCGGGGTTCTGCAGTGTCCGGGACTGCATAAATTAGACCGACTCCTGGATTCGGCGGCGCAGTGGCAGCACACCCGACCGGCGATCAGTCTTCAATTCCCGACCGTCCCCCGCCTTCTCCTCATACTATCCAGCTCTCCCCCCCCCCTCCCCCCCCCCAGCCTCTGCATCACTACAGTAGGTAGTAATATTCTTTCGATCAAGTTTTCATTAAAAATAATTATGTTTCACAGCGGGCTGAGACAGGGCAGCCTAGAGCATTTTGCGACACTCGAGATCCGTCTCTTATAGGAAACCATAGGGCTAACGTCCCCCAATTAGTCATGCATGAAATATTGAATTACTCTGGACAACGACGGGAACTGTGCTTCAGCTAGTCAAAAATATACGCGACTGAACCTCTCGTTAGGCGTGACGAGCTAACGGAAAAAGTAGTGTCTCGATTTTAGCCTTGGCCCGCTCACGACTGAGCTTCGTGAGCCGACTGAGTTTCGTGAGCCGACTGAGTTTCGTGAGCCGACTGAGCTTCGTGAGCCGACTGAGCTTCGTGAGCCAGGATCGCAACAACGTGAGATAACGCGCCTCGATTGTTTTTGTGCGGGCGCAAAAGAACAACAGCGGGATGTGGTTTGTTGATGTGGGTTCCATTCGTGTCGATTTTGTTTGTGGCTAGTGGAATCTGAAAACGAGAAAAAGTACTTGTCTCACTTACGGGTCTTGGAGGGGAGAATCTCCTGCATACGAAATTGTATTGCGATTTCATCGGATCTATTGACACCTCAACATGCACCCCCCCCCCCCCCTTCCCCCTTGGACAAGTCATGATGAGTCTCTTATGAAAGGGCGTTTCACAGTTGGCGTGTGACGCGTGCGGTTCGCTTGTTTACGTGCGTTCGAGTGCGAGGGGACGCGCTTGTACGTGGCATGCTCTCACGCGTTTTGGTCATTCCGCAGATATATAGGGAAAAAATTTTCAAAAAGAAAAATCTTACATTTGATGCCAGTTAAGGAGGGGCAATCAAATACATAACAGTAAAATATAGATTCTGATTAATAAAAGAAAACCCTATTCAAAACGTGATTGCGATTCATTTATACTTGTAAATGCGTGTGGGCATGCATGTACACGCGCGTTCCCTCGCATTCGAACGCATGTGGACGCATGCAGACGCGTGCCGCATGCAGACGCGTGCCGCATGCAGACGCGTGCCGCATGAGTGTGCAATGGCCAAACACCGAGAGTGACAAGCCCTAGTCTCCCCTGCCCCGTTTTCCACTAAAACATCCACTTCACTTCCAGCCCTCGCGGATGACGGATCTACAGTAGACAATAGGAGAGAGTGGTTGCTCGCTGCCGCGTAGACAGGGTTGCTAGGCGTACGGGTGAAATTCCGCATCTGGCATCCTGCGCTTCATGCTGTCCTCCCATCTCCAGGCGACGCGGACGCGCGGGTCATCGAGGCCTATTCTGTACCAATGACGGTTCTTATTTACTTCAATGTTGGATGGTTTGGATGCAGCGAAGTTGTTAAATCCAGTGGTGCAGGGGCCGCTGGAATGGCTCATCTGCAGCTGGACTGGTTCTCTAGTATCATTTCTACTATCTATCTACTAGCAACAAAGTCCTTCTACTCGCAAAATTACACTGATTTCTAAAATCGTCAAGCACGGACAGTTTGCACTTACGGTCGCGCTCTCCGGACAAGAATTACTGGGAGAGTCAGAGTGAATGTTTCGATCCAAACTTGCAGATGCGACGCATCGAGAACGCACGTGTGGAAATGTCGCAAGCGTGAATTCCGAAAGACGCAGGCGCCCATAAAAGGAGTGAGGATGGCGGCGAGTTCCGTCAGAGCTGCTGGAGGTTCACAGTGAGGAGTTCCAATCGCGCTGCAGGGAGATCATGGCATTCACGACTTTCGCCCTCCTTTCTCTCCTGCTCTGCGGCGCTCAGGTTTGCCTCGAACCTCCGTGAAGGCCATTTCGTGCGATTTCCTGAGAAAAAATATTCAATTTCAGGTTTGCGGTGAAACGCTGTCTGACGAATGCCTGCGATGCATTCTCGAGAAGGAAAACGGGACGGTCGGAAAGTGCATGAGAGAACCTGACGGCCGCCTCAGTTGCGGACCTTATCGCCTCACGGAGGACTACTGGGCAGATTGCAGCTTCAGAGGAAAGAACAAGGACATAGGTAAGCGATCGGTCAGGCCTGCCTTACCGAATCTGGTATCGCGACGCAGGCCCCGGTTTTCCTTCATTCTTTACTGGAATCGACTCCATTCATAAAATAGGGACGGATTGGCAGGCCTGCGCAAAAGAGCTGGACTGCTCGGAAACGTGCGTGAGGAACTACGTGTCGCTGAAGGAGCACGGCTGCACCGGCGGCGATCGCGTCCCGACGTGCCTGGACTACGCCCGCCACCACCACGGAGGCCACGGCGGGTGCTCGGGCGGCGCCAACGCGGATTACGTGCTGCGGTGCTGCGACGGGGCGGGGGGGTGCTGAGGGGTCGACTCTCCGAGTCGATGGGTCGCCGTGTGTCGTTTGAATAAAACGGGTCGAGCTGCATGCATAAGGTCTGACGTTCCTCGTGGATGATCAGATATTCATTTTTGGGATTGGAAGATCGGACGCGAAAATCGACGAGATGTTGAAAGGGAAAACTGCTTCCATGTATTAAGAAGTACTGAGAAGTACCGATGAGTACCGAGAAGCACTGAGAAGCGGAGCTGGAAATCCCAGAAGACGCGCTTCGCCCACACGTGGAAATAGAACTTTCATGACTTCGTGCGTGAAGGGGAAATTTTTTCGCACGGAGCCAAGAAACGACCTCGAGGCAATTTCAAGTTTGGCATCGCTCCCGCATGCGAAATTTTGAACCCGCGAAATCAATATACGGTTTCAACTCTCATCGCATGGTAAATCCAAATGGTAAATGGTAAATCCGAGGAGCCACAATGGAACTCCAGATCGAAGAAGCCTGCTGCTCGAGGTCGATTACTGCTGTCGACTCTTGGAGGAGTCGAAAAGGCTTCGCATTCTTCGCCTATTCTGATTTCCCCAGACCATATTGCAATTTTTTCCTGATATCTTAAATACAACAATAATAATAATAATAAGGAAGGAAAGTGAATGCTGCAGAATCCTTCGAGGGAATTCGATTTTGTCTCCACCGCACTCGGAAATCGTCGTTGAGACGCCGTTGGCATGGTCCTGGATGGCATAAACGGCCTTGGGCGTTCCTGATTGGACGAAGCTGGTCACGTGACGCTCCGTAGCTTCCTGCACTCTTAGAAACGAGTGAGCGATTTCCTCGAAAGGGAACGAAACTGGAGTTAGCGATATTGCTCCCTGAAAACGAGGAAGTACGATCGATAATACTCCTCTGTATGAGCAGAATCCAGAACTTAAGCGCGCGAAACGAAGGAGGGAGAGTACTTTTTAAACTAATAGAGAAAAGTTAGTGGTTATTCGCAGGGAAGAGAGAGGTGAGCGGCTGCAATTCTTTTAGGGAGTGAAATAGCTAACTCCCAGTTTCGCTCCCTTTCGAGGAAATCGCTCACTCTTTTCTAAGAGTGCAGATGGGGTTGAGGCGGGTCCTTCATCAGGGCTGAATTTATGTCTGCATTTGTCCCTTAAAATGTTGCGCGTATGGACGGGAATGGGCAGCCTTGAACCGCGACTGAGGACTTCTCAAAGGCTGGTTGAAGCTCTCGGCTTGGACCTATTCCGAGCCCCACTGAGGGGATTTTCAGGCTATTTTCAGGGGATTTTCAGGGGATTTTCAGGGGATTTTCAGGGGATTTTCAGGGGATTTTCAGGGGATTTTCAGGGGATTTTCAGGCTATTTTCAGGGGATTTTCAGGGGATTTTCAGGCTATTTTCAGGCTATTTTCAGGCTATTTTCAGGCTATTTTCAGGGGATTTTCAGGGGATTTTCAGGCTACTTCATGTCGGACTCGGGAAAAAATCCTGATATTTCTTTCCGGAATATGGGAAATAGAGGTTAGTCATAGCGATGAAGGTCATCGCCCTTGAAGGAAATAGACTTTCACTAAAGATTTTATCCTCGCAACAGATTTACATAAGAAGGAAGAAAAGAAAATTTGATAGAAATCAAGACGGGAATCGAACCCGAACCTTCTAATTACTGGCACAATCTATACGCGCGAGAGAGACATGAATTTTTATAAATTTGCCAGCTAATATTTACCGACAGAATGGTTAGGTTACTGAGTGGCTCGTAGAGGGGGGAGTGGGAGGGGGTAAGGGGGGGGTTGCCAGTCAAAAAAAATGCCGATCCTTTTGCGGATGCGGATCGTCCTTGCGTAGACGGAGAGTCACCTTTGCAAGTACTGTGCGAATATCAAGTTCTGCGTCGAGCGAGAGGGACGATGGTCGGCTATGAAAATATGCGAAAGGATTTCATCTCTAAATCGAGTGAAAATCGCGAGAAATTTGATGGTCGTGATTTGACAGCCACCCGACGAACGAACCGACCTTGTTTTAAATGATTGTATGATGTGTAATGGAGCGATTTTAACGTTTTCGCCACCCGTTGGAAGCGCATTGGACTGAAGAACTCGAATAATTTTGCCTGAGGATTTTCTCTCTTACCTCGAAACGTCGATGCCTCCCGCCGGCTGCATCTCATGCCCTCCATGCCGCGCGTCGTAACCGCGACACCCCTGCGAGAAACCGAAGACCTCGCATCCTGCCTTGGAGACTCCCGATGCCCGCAGCCCCATGCACGAGAGGAGGAAGAAGAGAAAGCACCGTGGACTGCATAAAGCAGCGACCATGCCCTCGGGGCTCGACTGGCCTCTAGCATATACGCTATCGGGTTTCTCTCCTTATTAAACCTTCGACTAAAAGTCAATGCGGAATTTTTCACATCACCAATTGAGCCATTTCTTTTCTTGCGAGCGGGCGTGCTTGCAATGATTCTCGGAGGGATCGCGCATTGGCACGGTTGATGTGCACGCGATGAATCAGCACATTAGCACAGTCTCACTCCGCTAATCGAGAATTCCAGTGGAATTTGCAATAATTCCTCGGGAAGAGGGGGCAACAGGTGCGAGTTTACTTCAACGGGGACATCAGTTGATCTCACGATTTTCCACGATAAATCTGACGATGACTCAAGCTCCTTATACACATGCAGCGATTCTTGGAAATTCAAGAGGCCGAAGCAGACAAGAATCCTCAGGAATTCATGAATATGGGGATTCCCGTGACTCATGAGATCCTCTCCGAATCGCCAATCTTCACGTCATGTTCGTCGGATCCGAATGTTTACATATCCAGCAGTTTTATTTTTATTATTATGTTTTCCATCGAGGTTGCGGACCAAAACATGCAGAAAACATGTCGATCCCTGGGTGAGACGACATGAAGAACTTCACATTCGCATATGTACTTCAGAAAAAATAATGGTAGCAAATACGTAGATTTAGGGACCTTTTAATTGAAAAGCATTTTTTAATTGTTTTTACAGAAAATAAATGCTGATCAAAATGAAGATGATAAACACAATTGCAGCTAAACGTATTCCATCCAACCGCAATCTACTCAGTGCGATTGGGGCGATTCCATCTCGAAGCATTCTGTTCGGGTCGAAAATCGTAAATAAGAAGAAGAAAAGGGATGTTCTGGTAAGGCTAGGTGAGACGGAATTGCACGTTGTCCAAGTTACCACACCTCTCTTCCGAACGACGATCCATCGGTGTCCCGGATCTCCATCCATGTCGAAACTGCGAATGTTGAAATTGTGTTCGCCAGACACCAATTATTGGGTCAGTATTTGCATTAAACATCTGCAGATGCGACAGATCTGGAACAAAGTGGGGAAAATATCACATGTTCCCTTTTGCGATTCCCAGAGACGCCGCATAATGTGGCCAGGCACCACGCATAAAAGGAGTGAGGATGACGCCGAGTTCCCACACAGCTGCAGGAGGATCACAGTGAGGAGTTCCAATCGCGCTGCAGGGAGATCATGGCATTCACGACTTACGCCCTCTTCGTTTCCGTCCTGCTCTTCTGCAGCGTTCAGGTTCGCCTCGAGTTCTCTTGATGACCGTTACGAGTGATTTGCCATGTGAAAAAAATTTGACTCTTCAAATTTCAGGTTTATGGCCTAACGCTGTCTGACAGCTGCATGGATTGCATTCGTAAGATGGAAAATGGAACGGTCGATGAGTGCACGAAAAATGCTAACGGCACCCTCAGTTGCGGACCCTTTCGTATCTGCGAGGATTACTGGAAGATCTGCAGCAACGGAGGAAAGGATATTGATACAGGTTCGTAAATCATTGTCATCATGGCTGCTTAGTTGACCCTGAAAAAATGGCATTGCCGTTGCTTGAGTTTGTATTGATTTTACACCTCAACTTTGCCAGTTTTCTGATTTTGACTACAAATCCATCAGTGAATCCATGTTAACTGGTACATTTGCAATGTTATAGATATGTATAAACTGGTATAACTCACTCTCGAGACGCGTTATTTCATAGATATATAGCTATAGGAAATAGTTATATGGTAGACTCCGCTTATTATGATCACAGTTTATTACTGGCTTATCACTGGCTTATGATCAGCAGCTTAATGTATTAAAATTTCCTTGCCCCAACGTCATCACAATAAGCAGCATCTACAATATTATAGTTAGCTTTCACGACCATAAATGAATCTGTATCTTTAGGGAAGGATTGGCAGATCTGCACAAAACAACTGGCCTGTTCGGAAAAGTGCGTGAAGAAGTACATGGCCCTCCAGGAACCCACCGGTAGTAAGCGCATCATGACCTGCCAGGACATCGCATGCCTCCATCACGAAGGCCCCAAGAGATGCGCGGACGAGAAAGTCAGCAAGGACTTCTTGGAAAAGCACCTCAATATGTGCTAGACGACTTGAAGGGGATGTCGAGGGGGGATGTTGGTCCTCCCTCCTGATGCGGTCGGACCGCTTCCTTTTGAATGTGCATGTTCTGTCGCTGACCCCGCTTCGAAGCATACCACAGATCACCGAGCAAACCCTTCAATGATTTCATTCCCGATGCGCTTGCGTCCGATTTCATGTATTTTGAATAAAAGTGATCGAGCAGATGCAAAATTTATTATTTGATTTTCCTCATACCCTTGTCGCTGTAGGGTACGCTTCAGGGTACGGAAACTAAAAATACACTGCTCAATATTTGAAGTGGATCATTTGGGTAGGTCATGAGTTCATCGTGCTAGGGAAACTTATTGAGTTATTTACAAATATTTATTACAGAATATACTTACAAGCTTTTTGTGTTTGTATCTGTTATCTGTTAAGTATATTCTGTAATAAATATTTGTAGGCAAATCAATCAGTTTCCCTAGCACGATGAACTCATGACCTACCCAAGTGATCCACTTCACCTGTTGAGCAGTGCATATTCATATTTTTGATAGGAAGATTAAACGAAAAAGGAGGATTTAAAGCTAGGTGACGACCTCCATCCGTCCCCGCCATTATTCGACCGTCACATGCGGGTTAATCGAATAATTTAATGGCGATTGCTTGATGCATCGGTCGAGGTCCATCGCCGGGAAGAACTCAGACGTGTCCCCAAATTTGTTCGTCCTCGTTATTTGTTAAAGATTCCAGAAGAACTGAAGCGAGAAACAGCAAGTTAACCTTCTTCATGCATGACATAACCTAAAGGTTCCTTCATGAGCAATCCACGTTTCGGTGAAAGATAGTAGCACTTGAAAGAGACTAAAGTACATGTATTTATGCGAACAGGTGGCAAGGTTTAAGGAGCAGGCGTCATGAATGCAATATGGGGGATGTTGCCTTCAGCGTGAACCAGTCCTGTGACGTGTCCTTGTTAAATTAGGCAAGCAGAAGTGTCTCTTGTTTTTCGACCTTGAGAGCGAGCAAAGACTTTGCCTGGTTGGGAAAAGTTGGCAGTTTTTGGAGGGTTGCATCCCGACCGAAATTCTAATAATTAGATGTAGAAAGGACTCATTTTCTCGAAAAATGCGTAATTTTTTTTGCGCATGACCTTTCTGATCACGTGTGCTCATTTCACATTCTAATTCTGAATCACCCTTGGAGAAAGCCAGTCTAGAATAAAGGACTCTGCTCATCCAGGCGCGGAACTACCATTGCCTGCATAAGCGTAGCATGGATGGAAAAAGCGTGTGGGAGGGAATCTGGAATACTGTTATCATGCATTTCAAGGTTTTTTCCTTCTTTTCAGACCTCTTATGGTCACTTATGGTCCCGTCCTGTCCGTCCGTGTGTCACTTTGGTTGTCCGACGATAACTAAAAAAATATTTACCTGATCAAGGCGGGTAGATATGAACATGATACAGGCTGAGTTCGTATTGTGGCGAATTTGCAACAAAGTTGGCACTTCATTGCAAATTTGAAATGGTCACGAAGGGGAAGGCATGAGCCCTATGGGAACTGGATCACAATGCGCATGCGCATACGACTCAAGCCTTTGGGTGCGGCGCCGGGTCAGCAACCACAGCTGTCAGTTCCCTATCAACCTTCGTGGCGGAAGGTTCAGAGCGCGCACAACCCTCCATCCTCACATCATTTCATGGGCATCATGAGTAGATTTTCAAACGTAACTGAAAAATGATGCTTTTGATGGCCGAGGACCGGGAAGGGATGGCATTTTGTTCCATTAGGTGACAAAATGAGGGAGTCCTTAAATAAATTAAATGAAAGGAGGCCTGCATTGGACTGGGTTTGCCCATCTTGTTCTGGCTTCTTTTCCTGAAAAGCGGGGGGCACGTTCCCCCCCCCCCCCCCCCCCCCCCCGACGCTACACCGTTGATTGCCTGGCACTTTCTTAGTTTCTGATTGGAGGAGGCTGGTCACGTGACGTCTTGAAGCTTTCCAAATTGCGGCATGGCAGTCCTGTCTTTCTTTCAGTGTGCATTTTTGCAGACTCAATTTATTTATTCATGCGTCGCTTGAAATTGAACTTTTCTGTGCATTCGGATGAGGCAAAATTTTCCAGAAAATAATTCAAGTCGTGTCGCTTCTCTGCAGACCCTTCGAGACGGAATTAATCGATTTTTGGATTTAGACTCGAAGGACGATGACGATTCAATTCTATCGCCTGAAGCGAGTTTCAATGCTCGAGGCATCACAGGAGTTGACCGATCGAAGGATGCGAATCCGCTAAGACTACGGTTAGGACTTGGACCATGGACTTGGACTCTTGGACTGAAATCTCGACTTAGACCTTGGCGGGGTCGCAGTAGGGACTATTGACAAGTCACTCTCGGATTAAGAAAAAAAAACCTAAAAGTGTATCTTTGGGAAGACCAGGAAAAAGGACAGTCAGAGCGATAAATTCTTTTGGCATTCGGTCCTTGACGAAAATTTTAGAAGAGAATGTTTAAACAAACATTCCCAGAAGACTGGATGAAACGGGAGAGCACGCTGTCCTACTTTCCACAGCCCTCTTCAGGAATGCCGATCCATCGGTGTCCCGGATCTCCATTCATGTCGAAACTGCGAATGTTGAAATTGTGTTCGCCAGACATCAACTATTGGGTCAATATTTGCATTACATCTGCAGATGCGACAGATCTGGAGCAAAGAGGGGAAAATGTCACACGTTCGCTTTTGGAATTCCCAGAGACGCCGCATAATGGGGCCAGGCACCACGCATAAAAGGAGTGAGGATGACGCCGAGTTCCCACACAGCTGCAGGAGGATCACAGTGAGGAGTTCCAATCGCGCTGAAGGGAGATCATGGCATTCACGACTTACGCCCTCTTCGTTTCCGTCCTGCTCTTCTGCAGCGTTCAAGTTTGCATCGAGTTCACTTGATCACCAATCCAAGTCATTTGCCATGTGAAAAAATTAGATTCTTCACATTTCAGGTTTATGGCATAACGCTTTCTGGCAAATGCCTGGAATGCATTCGCAAGATTGAAAACGGAACCGTCGGAGAGTGTACAAAAGATGCCAACGGCACAGTCCTCAGTTGCGGACCCTTTCGTATCGGTGAGGAGTACTGGAAGATCTGCAGCAACGGAGGAAAGAACAATGATACAGGTAAGGAAATGATCGTCTATCAGACTGATTGAACCAAGAAAAAATGCCTGCGGTTGCTTAAATTTGTCTGGATTTTGCACCTCGACGTAGCCAGCATTCCGACTTTGACTACAAATCCATCAATAATCCATGTTAACTGATACATTAAGAAATATGGAATATATATATCGACTAGAATAACTCGCTGTAGAGACACGCGAAAATTAATGCACATTAAGAAATAGGAAATATTTATAGTCCAGTTACCTGTTCCATGACCATCACAAAATCTGTTCCCTTAGATAAGGATTGGCAGACCTGCGCCAAACAACTGGCCTGCTCGGAAACATGCGTGAGGAATTACATGTCCCTCCAGGATACGGTGCCCACCGGAGGCAATCGGTTCGTGACCTGCCCGAACATCGCATGCCTCCACCGCGAGGGCCCTAAGAGATGCTCGGACGAGAAAGTCAGCAAGGACTTCTTGCAAAAGCACAGCAACGTGTGCTAGGCGCATCGGAGGGGATGTCGGGGGGGGGGGGGATGTTGGTCCTCCCTCCTGATGCGGTTGGGCTGCCTCCCTCGAGTGTGCGTGAATAAATTATGAATGGTTTTGCTTTGCGATCAGTGGTATGCTTTCATGATTCATTTCCCAATTCCATTGCGCTTGCATGTAAATTTCATGTCTTTTCGAATAAATCAGAACAATCAAGCAGAAGCTCTGAGTATTTTTTAAATTATATTCCCTTTACCATCGTCGCTGCATCAGAGCTTTAGGGTACGGAAACTGGTAAGATATTTATGATCGGAAGGTTTGACAAGAAAGCAATATATAAGGGGGAAAGGAGCCTCCAAATGTCGAAGGCGATCGATCCTCCACCTATTCGATTAAAGAACCGATTTCAAACGACCATTCGTTGAAGATCCGAGAGGAGCTGAGAGAATTAGTAGCAAGTGAGCCCCGAGTCGCTCCATCTTGGAATCAGAGAAAATAAAAATCGCCACCTGAATGCAATCCCCTTCAGAAATCAAGAAAGCACTCGATCGAGTGAATTCCACTTCGTACTACGAGGAAGCGAATCGAAATCGTCCATTAAAATGAAGAACTCACGACGACCGGAAGAAGCGATACGCAGGCGATGAGAAACTCACAGCCTCGAGGTCGGGGACCGAGTGGGAAGGCGCTGGCTCGTGTCGCTCGTCATCCGTCGCCGCTGCACTCTGGACTCGTGATGTGGAAGTGGTAGTACGGTTGGTTAACGGTAGATGGCAGGCGCCGTACTCTGTGCTTCCCGTCTAGGCGCTTGCAGGCCGACTGGGATTGATTAACTGGTTGAGTCCGTATTGAATGGAATTAATGGAAACTTTGCGTCGGTCGAGAGCTAGTCGCGACTGGGTCGTGTGGATCAGTGGATCGTGTGGGTCGTGTGGGTCGTGTGGGTCGTGTGGGTCGTGTGGGTCGTGTGGGTCATGCGGGTTGTGTCTTCTGAAATGCGCTCAACTTTCTGAAGGAAAACATGAACATGAAGTCTGTAAAATGTACGAGGAAGCCCAGTATTAGTAGGAAAAATATGACATTTAGGTGGAAGGTGAATGCTGCGGGTGGAGCAACGCTGACCAATTGACCAATTGGTCAATGACCAATTTAGGGCAAGGGGTTGATTCTCGACAGGAGTCTGTAAACAAGGATCACGACGAGGAAGACGGGAAACTAATGTTCCATGAAATACTAAACTAAAAAATAAAAAACCTTCAGAGTTGATTGAGAAGAGTTCTCGGTAAACGCGAATCCTCTCCGCCCATTAGTTTTGCCTTAAAAAAAAGGGGGGGGGAAGGAAGAATCCCCCGAAGGGAAATATCGTCGCGAATGGATAGGAGAGAGTCTCACCGACTCCGATCGCCCTCCAGCAGGCCACGCGATGGAGACCTGACACCTTCGGCGCCTCTGATTGGGCGAGTCAAGTCACGTGACGACGATTGGAGGTTTCAAGGTGGCGGCGAGGCGGCTCTTTCCAGTTCCCCGGGTGCGTGGTCCCGTCGACTGCGGAAAATCTGCCGAGTTGCGGATTCCTGCCGCTTCGCGAGGCGGAAAGCAGCGAAATCGCCTCAGGTGAGCCTTAATGGCCGAATGGCCCACGAGGCCTAATGGCCCATTAGGCCTATTGGCCGACTAGGCCTATTGGCCGACTAGGCATAATCTCGGCTGGAACGTCCTCGGATTTCTCCGCGTTGGAGTCGGGAATGCCTGAAAATTCCCTTTTCCCAAGACCTAATCACAACGTTCACAGGTGATCTAATTCGTAATATTCCGCCATGGAAATTTGGAAAAGAGGTTAGGCCCGGAATAGCTTTATGAGAAACAAATTTGTCGACATTCGCACAGTGGTCATCACGTCATTGCTGTGCATCATGCTAAGGGTATCTTGCTAATGCAGTCAGGGTATCTTGCTAATGCAAGCCGGGTATCTTGCTAATGCAATCCGGGAGATCTGCCGCTCGTTTGTATGGATGGAGGAACCGTTGAATGAAGAGCTGCTTCCGCCGATCGCGATCGCGTAGAATTCCTCGGTTCTCTCGGGTTTTCGTTGAGCGCCGCGGCTGCACTCTGGCCTCGCGCTGAGGAACTGGCAGTACCGCCGGACAACGCTAGATGGCATCCGCTGCGTTCTTACACATACGCCTCGACACGACCCACTCTCATCTTATTCACTACCAATAATGGTTTGCGATGCGACTTAATATATTAAGCGGAAGTGAATTAAATTTGCTTAGATATTTATTTTTGCAAATTTTTTGTCGTGCCGTGTAAACTTTCCCGTACCACTTTTTTTTTTAAATCATTATTTAAAGCAGGAAAATTAAGATTCGGCATCCTCGACTTCCAATTTAAAATCGGGCCGAAAATAAATTTCTTCTTCCCAGAAAATGTTCCTTTCCTCGCGCCCCTGCCTCTGAAGTTATCTCTTGATAGAAAAAATAAAAATAAAAATATATATCCGGGACCATCCCGTAAATCCTTAAGGAGGCACCTGGACACCTTCCCGCCATCTAAAAATAGACAAAATTGCAAAAAAAAATTATTTTTGAACCATCTCGAGAAGAGGTCTTAAAGCATCGCAGGAATATATGAAGCGATTATTATTAAGAATTTTTCTAGATAAATCCTTAATTCTATCCGGATCCTGAGGACGCAAACCCACTTTAAACCCGGAGTTAACCGCGGTTATATCTCCGGTTTCTCCCTTCGTGCGTTGCATAACCAAGGGAGCTCGACGCGGGGGCATTCGCCACGCAGGAGTGGCCGTGTTTTCGCCCCCAAATGACCCCCAAGGTGTCCCCCTCCCCCCCCCCCTCCCCTCCCCCCCCCAAATGACCCCCGAGCGGTATGATGTATGACAGACGAGACATGAGGACCCGTCATTGCGCTGTAAACCGCCCGGTAACAACAGGGGACCCCTAATTGGGTTCCCCTGTTGGTGGTCCCTTAAAAAAAAAAATACAATTACCATTTTTTAAGGATCGGGAGGTGTCAGAGACACCTCGAGGATTCCGCGCAAGGCTAATGAGTAATAAAGGAGTGATTCATTCCGCCCCGACCGCGCGGTTAATGAGCCTGACGATTCTATTACCGGAGATTTTCCCCCCGCTTTCCCACAAATCCATTAATAGGCTTAAGTGAGGCGGGAGAGGAATTGTCACCTGGACGAGGATTGTCCTCTATGATTTGGGGACATTAATATCGAGAATGGGCCGAGGGGGGGGAGGGGGGGAGGGTAACCTGCGTGCCAGAACCCCCAATTACCTGCCTCCCCCCTTCCGGACTGAGAGAAAAACCAGCCTTAATTCCCCCGTCCGACTCGATAGGAAAAATACACAAAGCCCGGATCCCTGCTTTTTCAATGACTCCTTCCCTCTCGGGGGCACCCCGAGAGGGGGTGCACCCCTTCGTTTTGGGATTACCGTATAATGGTGCCAGTTTATAACGTATGTTCGATGCGGGAAGGAGATTTATGGGTTGTTTTTGCACTTGATCCCTGCCGATTTTATGGAATTTTCAATTTTTGATGCCGAAAACGTTTCGGCTCGGCGGCCGATTTTCCTCCTCGAGATATTCCGCATTTCCCGAGTCGATCAAGTTGAGCTGTGGATTCGCGGAGGCGTCGCGATTCGGCGGAGGTCGATTTCTGGGGCGGAAAACGCGCAGCGGCGGCGCCGATATCTCGATCCTGACGTCATTTCTATCGGCGTATCGGCATCCCCGCCGATAATCGGTCCGATATTCGCCGATATTCGCCGATCGCCGTCCGATATTCGCCGATTACCGCGATTTGCATCAAATGCGACGACTTTTTTTTTTACTTTCGTCCCGAATATCGCTTTTCGACAGTAAAAAATTACCAGACCAGGTGCAGGCAATAGTGCGATGGCAACAGGTCGCGATGGCAACTGCTGAGAGAAAAAATGAAGAAAAATACATTATCACTTCGCTAATAATACGATGTACCGTGTTGCAAATTCTTCGCGTTTTTCTCCATTATCCGAAGGAGTCAGCTTGCATCTAATTTTTTTTACATAATGAGTAGATCTAATGAACTAATGAGCCCTGCCAAATGTCCTTGAGATCGTCAAAATGAAGTTTCGCTAAACTTGTGTAGATTGCATACCGTGCAGAATTTCATCTTATTCCCAAATATTATTTCCCAAAGGAAATTGAAGACCTTCGTCGTTTTTCTCGTACCACGTGAGTGGTACTCATTGCAAATGGCAAAATTGCACATTGCAAATTGCAAAATTGCAAAAGTGCAAAATTGCAAAATTGCAAAATTGCAAAATTGCAAAATTGCAAAATTGCAAAATTGCAAAATTGCAAAATTGCACATTGCAAATTGCAAATTGCAAATCTGAAGAGACTGCGGAGGGCAGCTGGGATCATCTGAGATTATCCAGCCGAGTGATAATCCCAGCAGAATATTGAGAGAAATTCGCTTTCGAATAACCCGGAACAGCCCCGCATACTTTGCACGCTAATGTAATCAAACGGTGAATTTAAATAAATTCAGGCTTTTTCGTTTCAGCGATGTGAAAATATTAATAACTCGACGGGCTCCTGTGTACTGCAGAAATGATGAATGAGCAACTGATTTTTTTTATGTTGTAGCCTTGATATTCGTTATTTTGCAATGTTGTTAAACCTGATTTATTATATGCATGTATATTGCTATTTATTTAATTATCTATATATAAGTGCATATCGTTCCGGATGTGACATCCGGCACCGCGAACAGGCCAAGGCAAGTTTCCCCGACGCGTTCCGCGATCCCACAGAACGCAGGCGACCCCACAGAACACAGGCGATCCCACAGAACGCGGGCGATCCCACAGAACGCAGGCGATCCCACAGAACGCGGGCGATCGCAGGCCGGTGAAAGTCGGTCCCCCTCAGAAGAAACGACATCCCGAGAGGAAGGCAAGCGGAATGACATCCCAAGCCGGCAATCAGTGGGCGTGAGG